TTGCAGCCCGCGCTGCGATGTGTCAGTCCGCAGCTGCGTTGCCCTCTTCTACTGGCCGCACGAAGGGTAGGTGTGCATAGCCATGACAGGCCTGATGAGTGGCCTTCCCCCTAAGCCCCTCCCCGACCTCTCATGAGACTGACCACACCAGTTGGGCAGTTACCTTAAAGTAAGCTTGCCCGAAACTACTTCAATCTTGCACAAAAAAAGATTGAATATTGTGCAGGTTTAGAGTTCAGGGTTTAGGGTGTATGGGGTGTAGGGTTTAGGGCGGATTCACCAGGCGCGTGACCTGAGTTTCAAATTCATCCGTATTATCCTTGCGCAGCATCCTCAAAATCCACATTCAGCTTGCCTCTTTCCACAGGGTGTCCTAGCCCCGCTCAATTTTGTCCAGCTGTACCCCCAACATATTCCCAAAACTCTGAGAAGCTACCAACGGTACCCCCGTTTTGAGAAACCTCTTGTCTAGATGTTGAACATGTCCTCCAAGACAGTGCCAGATGAGCTTCTAGAACAGCTTGATGCATGTGAAATGTCTTCGATGTTGAAAATTCCTACGCTGGAGCCACGAAACAGATACACTCTGCCGAAAATCTATGTAGACGAAGTCTAGGTGTATAAGCTCTATAAGTACCCATGGAATACAGCAATGGTGTGGCATGCACTGCAGAAACAGTAAGAGCCGCAAATACAGGCCCTGAATCGCTTTCATTGCTATGCAGAAGCTCAATGGGGTGCTCGCTAAAGGCAAGTTTCTGTTGTATATGCCTAAAACCTAAATCCTAAATCCTGGGAGGTCCTCTTATATCCCTATCATGCGACTATTACAGGGCGGGGGCAGCTCCTTGTGATTCAGGCGCGTGAAGGAGTCTGAGGCCCTCAGTGTGATTGCAGGCTGGAGATGGGTAGCAGGGCTTGGGCCAGGGTGGGACTTAAACTGGGTCGCTGTTAAGGAACTTGAATGAAGTTGCTATCATAAGGAAACCCTACTTACTACATACCCATAGTATGGTAATTGAAGTGAAGTTCCCTAATAGCAACCCAGTAAAACATTACATGCAGATCATCCTAAGGGGATCGAGATGTGGATCGTTTGCCGTCGGCTTGTGGTTGGGGGGCGATCTTGAAGTTTGGGCGTGAGTATGTCTACCTTACTGGGGTTTAGTAGGGAATGAGGGAATATACTCCTTAGATAAACCCAATGCAATATGTTCTCATTCCCTACTGACCCCAAGTAAGCTATGGCTTAAAACTTAAGAGTCAGTACGCGCTCGTCCCAAAATCACTCGTCAGCGTGATTTCATGTGTAGCCCTGCGCCTGCTGTGGAACCCTAAATCCTAAACCCTAAGAATGCGAAAGGCTACTGCTTGGCCTTGGACCTCACGGCAAGGGATCTGCAGCTTGCGGCCAAGGAGAAAGGACACCTTGCAGGGATCTAAGCCCCAAAGCTCATCCGGGCTGGTTTCCACATCCTTCTGAAGTTGAGTTGAGGTGAGCGCAAAGTGATGGGGACATATCTTGGCGACTCTTGTGTTGGTCAAGCCATGTGGCAAACGTCGGATGGTTGAAGGGTCGTGCATCAATTCCTTGTCTCAAGCTATGAGAGGGCTTCCCCTAAAAGCCACTTAGCCAGGAATGCCGTGGAGCGTGGCGAAGGGCTACGACGCTGGTTCAAAGCTTGTGGCCTGGGGTGTTAACGATTTCGAAATAGGCGTGAGCTTGTAGGGGGTTGGTGTCTCGAGCTAGGGACCGTTCTCCAGCCCTATGCATGGATTGTTCGTGACATTTCGGCCTGTCTTGCCCAAAGCGAGGAAGCACAGCCACAACAAGAAGAAAGGTTCTAGGGTTTAGGGTCTGCCTCTGCGCTTGGATAAGTTTAGAGCACAAGCCCTGCCTATTTTCGAACCAGCGGATGGCTGCTGTGGCTTGCGGCGCGTGTCTTACAGTCACTTTCAAGGCATTAAGTGCAGGTCATTGCTTCATCCAAGCCGGCAGGCGAATCCAGCTGGATTAACCCAAGACACTGTCCAGGGACAATGTGGTTTACACACCTTTTTTTTTTTCTCGTACATCCAAAATGCTTGTATCACTCCCTTCTTGGACATGCAGCGCTCAGCACACAGAGCCCACAAGCATCTCACGAAGCTGCTTCTTATAAAGCACAAAAGCAATATCCCCTCCCCTCAATTCAGACGAAGTACAAACACCTGAACCAGAATCCCAGGACCACTTTACGCCCGTTGGCGCCTTCGTGGACAAGATGCATGTTTCTAACTTGGTTCACAGAATCAGTTTTTGCCTTTTTGTTAGAGCCCTCCCTTTAATCAGGCCATAACGCGCTCCTTTCGCCTGTAAGTTGTTGGGCCCCCTTTTTTTCCTGCACAAGTATGACAACTTCCAAAGTCGACCTTGCCAGACGTACCTGAAAGGTTTAGTGTACATGTGAGGTGCTGGACCCGCACAACCTGGAGCTCTTTTGCCAGGTGAATGGCGTGGAGAGGCAGGGTTCAGAGTGTTCTATTCTTTGTATCCCCGACGGTTCTAGTAGCCCAAAGGAAGTACAGTAGATGGCGTTTAGGGCCCAAAGTAATACTTATGGAAGTGTATATCCTAATCCTGCCCAGTCTGACAGGGGGATAACACTGTTTGATAACGTTGAAGTAGAAACATTTAAGTTGCTGTTCACAGTCGTCCCTTCTTCGGCAATGTCTGCTGTTTCAAGGAGATACAAAACAGCCAGACTCCGCAGGACAACCAACCGCCCTTACCAAGACCAACATGTGATGTCGGGGAGGGTTTAACTTTTTACAGCATCGCCAGCACCTGTTTATCTAGTGGACCTAGTCCCCAATGATGGCTTAGAATGGCAAGCAGTATTAGAATGGTGAAGTACGAAAAGGTTCTTGATCCAACCCACGACCCTAATCCCTAAGCCTCCAACCCCAAATTCCTAAACACTAATCCCTCCAACCCGACTCCCTAAAACCCGATCCCTTCAACCCCAAATCCCGAAAACCCTAATCCCTCCAACCTCAAATCCCTCAAACCTTAAATCCCTCAAACCTCTAAAACCTACACCCTAAACCCTAAACCTTAAACCCTAAACCCTAAATCCTAAACCCCAAACCAACCTCGAACCCCAAACCCCTTAGCCCCCTACTTTGGATTGTCAGGCAGCGAGGCAACACCAAGGTTGGGACCCTTCTCGCGCAGTTTAGGGTTTGGGAATTAGGGAGTAGGGTTTAGGGAGGAGGGTTTAGGATTTAGGGCCTATTATAAAATTAGGGTTTGGGGATTAGGGTTTGGGGATTAGGGTTGAGGGTTTAGGGCTTAGAGTTTAGGGCTTAGGGTTTAGGGATTGGGGTTTAGTGGTTAGGGGTTGGGGGTTGAGGTTCGGGGGCTAGGGATTGGTGTTTAGGGATTAGGGTTTCGGGATTAGGGTCTAGGGATTGGGGATGAGGGTTTAGGGTTTGAGGATCAGGATTTAGGGATTAGGGTTTATGGTTTGGTGCTGCCCTCTTGGGGGATTGTTTACCAAAAGGTTCCTAGGGGATAAATGGGGATTGGAAGGGGCTTACTGGGGTTCTTATTAGTTTGGGCACCTTCCACTTGGAGGGTCACGTGGACTTAGTAACTAGGAAAATAACCCCTATAAAGCCTATAGTCACCCTAGTTATCCCCATTATTCACCTACTTACTGAGCCCCCCTGGCCCTCCAAGCATATGGTCTATATGGGCCTTGAGTTACCTCAATGGGGTCCTGGGACCATGGACACCCTAAACCCATCCAAGGCTGAAAGGTATGTAACCTTCGCACCTTGCTTGACAGGACATGGTTTTCAGAATCCCAAGCTTGCGCCTTGGCCGCAAAGAGGCAGTTCCCCCATCTGAGATGCTCAACTGCGGAGTATCAAGGTGTTGATCAGCAACCTTTGCTTCAGTTTCCCACACAATGCAATTGGGATGGCTAAGTTGCGGGCATGCTGCGTGTCCACAATGATCCCAGTCACAACCCAGGATCTCGTACATTAGCTCCATCTTCACGTTGGAGTGCGGCGACGTTATTCTGTAGCTTGCTGGCGCTCAAGACCTTTTTTGGTGGCCGATTTCCGAGACCACGAAGCAGACTTTGCTTGCTAAAGAGTGTTTTGCACAGATTTTGTTTGTAGAGTGCATGGTCTTGACTTTGGGAGGTTGCTAGGGTGATCAGAGGAGTGCTTTATCTGGCTTTGCTATGGTTTTCCCTAGGCATTTTGTGCCTGCGGAGAGAACCCTCGACCCTAAATCCTAAACCCTAAACCCAGAAACCCCTAAACCCTAAACCCCTAGACCCTAAACCCTAACCTTGAGAGCTTTTCATGGATCTTGGAGCGCCTGCTGCGCTTCAGGGAGCCTGTAAGAGTTTTTTTTCCCCAAGGTCAGGGTTTAGGGTTTAGGGTTTAGGGTTTTAGGGCTTAGGTATCAGGGTTTAGGGTTTAGGGCTTAGGGTTTAGGCTTTCAGGGCTTAGGGTTCAGGGTTTAGGGCTTTCAGGGAGCTAAAATGCCAGGGGTTCCCCAAAACAAAGGTCCCCCAAAAAAGGTAGCTCCGCAAGAAAAAGACAGTTTGAATGTTTGCAAAACAGCCTCCATGCTTGGAAACACACATGTGGGAGTATTGGGATTGAATTTCCAAAGCCAGGTCATAAAGGAATGACGGGTCTTGCTCCATAAATGGTATGTTTTACCCTGTGACAATGACGATGCTTCATAAACGTGGTACATCTGTACATCTGTATGTACCCTCTGAGAATGACGATACTCCCCAGCAAGGAGCCAACATGATGACCCAAACTTATATAATCTAAGTCCTACAGCCTAAAGAGGCTGAACAAAATCTGAACGCTAACCCTACACTCTAAAGCCTATAAGACTACTAAAAGCCCTAAACCTTGTTACGCCTACCTCCTAGATCACCTGCCTCCAGGCTCATACCAAGACTCGTTTAGTTGGGGCTTTTGGGAGCTTCAGAGGTAGGGTTTGGGGCAGAAGAATGCAGAGCCAAATGAACAAAGCAAATGGAAAACAAGATGAATGCTACTGTTTAGGGTTTGGGGGTAGGATAGTGGAGGGTTTAGGGGCGGGATACTGCAAAATAGTGAGGAAGCGAAGGTGGAAAGTGAAATGAAAGCACCATAGGCCCATAGGTCCCTCTATAGAGCTTCGATGAAAATGTTACCTCAGCAATGGAGATCAAATTGAGAAGAAACTGGAACCCGAAATCAAAGCTAGGATTACATGCGCCTCGTTTAGGTTTAGGGTTTAGGGTATGCGCAAATCTCTACAAGCTCCTGACGCCGACTGTCATGTGCGACACATACCCGCATTGTTTCTTTAATGAGGGAGTTCTAGGTGCCCCAGCCCATGAAATTAGGAACCTATCATAGTCACATGGTAGTTGTAAGGTACTCTTATTCTATGAGTTGGAGTAAGTGGCGTCTCCCATATTACCTCCGATAAGCCCCTACCTAGTCCCAGTTTCCATCTCAAGTTACACTTTATTTTTCCGTTTGATCTTCCATCCGCTTTTCCATTCTAGAGTTTGGTAGCTAAAGTCCCCTTAGTAGTTAAAGGTTTAGGGTCTAGGGGTTAGGGGTTAGGGATGGCTCACTCAGGACTGGCACGCCAGAAGGCGTTGGACCTATCCAGGTGGCCTTTGCTTTTGATTTGGAATGAGACTAAAAACCGTGATATTTTGGTGGGTCCCCTGTCGAATATCTTCAGATACCCAAACAGGGACTATCATTTTGATAGCGTGTGATTTGCTGCTGACGCCTTCAGATTGAGATTGCCCGTCTAGTTTGCTGGGTAAATTTGCTGCCGCCGCTAGTCTGCTTGCGAGCAGCATTTGTTCCATATATTGCCCCCCCGAAGGGGCCAGGCATGAAGTGTATCATTAATAGTAAGAACAATAACAATAAACATAGTTATAGCAATCATAGTAATGGTAATTTTGGTGATCGTAATATTTTCTGGAATAGTAACCTTATGTATACTATTTTGCAGGGTCGGTGGCTTCTGTCAGGCCGGCGACAAGGTTGTCGCTGGCATCTGTGATCTACCTGAAGCAGGGCTTCAGTCCCTTGGGTTTACGCGGTTTAGGGTTTAGGGTTTAGGGTTGACAGAGAGGAAGGGAAGACAGTACCGCCCAGGAATAGTCTGAAACAGGCGTAGGGTTTAGGGTTTAGGTTGGGTACTGCCCCCACCCAGTAACAGTCTATAGTAGGGCTAATATTGAGGGCTACGTAGAATTTTATCATGAGTATTATCCAACTGTTACTGGGTGATGGCAGTACCCAAGGCTTAAAAGTCGAGTCTATAGGGTTTGGGTATAGTTGGGTTCTTTAGGTTTTGGGCTTAGTTGGGGGGTTTGGGGTTTTGGGTTTTGGGTCTCTAGGGGTTTTGTGAAAATATGGACAAGGTCCTCAAAGCTACGCTGATTCAAGCTTGAAAGGGTGAGGGTTTTAGGGTTTCGGGTTCAGGGATGGGCGGTGTTGGGGTGCCAGGCTTGCAAGCTAGCGTCGGTCCACTACAACTGTCTGTCAATGGTAGGCCTTGTTTGAACTTCGCGTCTAAAGGGTTCTAGGCAGCCATATGAGCTACACTCTTAACTCCCGAAAGAGGGTGATATAGGGGATTATATAGTTTCAGTATTATAGGGGTTATTAGGGTGCACATTAGGAGTTTCGACTATAGCTCATATAGGTACTTGGGAGTCTTTGGGGCTGCAGGAATCCTACAGTCTAAGCCTCTGCTCAGGATTCTCAGGCACAGGGCAGCGGCTCCCCTTACCTGGACCCTGGATGTCTTACCTTTTTGGGGGATATATCCTTCTAAGGGTCCAAAAACCAAAAATATTTACTTCGAGCATCC